AAGGAAGGAAGGAAGGAAGGAAGGAAGAAAGAAAGAAAGAAAGAAAGAAAGAAAGAAAGAAAGAAAGAAAGAAAGAAAGAAAGAAAGAAAGAAAGAAAAGAAACATTATAATAAAACTACCCAAAAGGGGAGGTGGGGCTTGAGATAGCTCAGGTAAGAGCACTGGCTGTTCTTACACAGGTTCTGGGTTCAATTCCCAGCATCCACAACCATCTGTAACTCTAGTTCCAGGGGATCCAATCTTTCTTCTGGCTTCTGCTGGCAACACACACACGGTACAAACATACATGAAGGCAAAACACCCATACATATAAAATAAAAATAAATCTTAAAAAACAAAACAAAACAAAAAAACCCACTCTGGTGGTTCTCTTTGAGTTGAGGCCAGCCTGAGCTAAACCCTGTCTCGAAAAGCAAAAAAAAAAAAAAAAAAAAAAAAAAAAAAAAAACCGCCCTCAAACAGAAAAAAACATAAGTAGCTAAACCAAAGAAGGAAAACATCACTTGATCCTGAGCAGGTTTGGGATAAACCTGAACTGCTTTGTTTTCTCAGCAGGGGAAGGAGGTAGCAGTGACCAGAGAAGGATCAGGGAGCTTGCTGGGGTGATATTCTCATGAAATTAGTTGTTATTTGTGTGACATGTGCGTATGTACGTATGTGTGAGCGTGTGTGTACAGGAGTCAGTTTTCTCCTTCCACCATGTGGGGCGGGGGTTGAACTCAGGTCCTCAGGCTTGGCAGCAAGCACCTTTACCAGCTAAGCCACCTCACCCATCCTAGATGGTCTTGGTTTTGATGAGACAGGGTCTCACTATATATCTCTGGCTGTAGACCAGGCTGACCTCTAACTCAGAGATCCACCTGCTTCTGCTTCCAGAGTGCTGGTATTAGAGGCATGAGACACCATACCTGGCCCTTATTCGGGTTTTGAAATTTCATTTTGATATATTCTTATATATTATCATATATGTAAGTGCTTTTTAATGATTATATTTCAACAAAAATTGAGAGAAAAAACACCCAGACATTGTACTGGCAAGATGGCCAAGTCCCTAATAAAACCCCTGGGCACTGAGTTTCTAATGAGTTTTCTATGTAGGCATTATTTCATGTGTTCATTTAGCATATCCTTTGTGACTCCACAGGGAGAGACTCTTGGAAGCTTGTCGTCCTCTGTTTCCTCTGAATCTCAGCCCTTATTGCCTTTCCCAGTGCTGGCTTGTACTATACTCATTCTAACAACATTAGGACAACTCTATGCTGAGGAATGAGTCCTGCTCTTGATGGTCTGAGGGGCCACCAGCACAAGGAATAACTAGATGACTGACAGACACATGCAGAGAAAAGAAATACTTTAAGGATCATTTATACCTACTATATAAGTGGATAATTATCCTTGGAATTTTGGGGGTTGTTGTTGCTGGAGACAAGGGTTTCTCTATGTAGCCTTGGCTGACCTGGAACTTGTTATGTACATCAGGCTGGATAATAGAGTATTTTCTCTAAATTTGCCAAATACAAATGGACTGGATATTGTAACTGTAATTCTTATTTGATAACTGTTTTTCGTTGTATATAGTTTTACTATGCTAAAGTTAAAACCTTCCTTTCTAATTAGACAAAAAAGAGGAAATGTTGTAGAACAATCTTTTTGTATACTGTGAATATGTGTTGCTCTCATTGGTTTAATAAAGGGCTAAATGGCCAATAGCTAGGTAGTTAGAGGCTAGATGGGACTTGTGGACACAAAGACAGCCGAGGATGAGGTCTCAAGAGAAAAGAGAAGAAGATGAGCATGCTGTACTGAGATAAGGTACTGCCACATGATAGAGCACAGATAAGAAATATGGGCTAATTTAAGTTTTAAGAGCTAGTTAGTAACAAAGCTAAGCCATCAGCCAAGCATTTATAAGTCTCCTTGTCATTTATTAGGGAGCCAGAGGTCCCCCAAAAAAACCCCACTTACAATTGTTGTTGCCTCTTTTGAGAGAGGGTCTCTATATAGCCCTGGCTGTTCTGGAACTAGCTATGTAGACCAGGCTGACTTCCAGCTTGCAGAGACCTGCCTGCCTCTGCTTCCCCAGTGAATGGGACTACAGGCATGCACCCCAAGTTGGAATTTTGTTATACACAAGACAAATACAAACAAACACACAGAACTATGAAGACAGCTAGTCAGCAAAGCACAAGGGCCTGAGTTTGATCCCCAAACCTACATAAAAAGCCAGGTGTGAAGCCGGGCGTGGTGGCGCACGCCTTTAATCCCAGCACTTGGGAGGCAGAGCCAGGCGGATCTCTGTGAGTTCGAGGCCAGCCTGGGCTACCAAGTGAGCTCCAGGAAAGGCGCAAAGCTACACAGAGAAACCCTGTCTCGAAAAAACCAAAAAAAAAAAAAAAAAGCCAGGTGTGTGTGGTATCTTGTGGGAAGGTGAAGACATGAAGACTGGGCCTCACCAATCAGTCAGTCTATTCTACTTGGCAAGTTCCTGGGTGGCCAGCCACTAAGTAGTAACACTCAAGATTGTCCTCTGGCCTCCACATGTGCATACATATAAAGATGTGTGCACCGTAAGTTTTCTCAGGTCCCATCCAGCCCTGCGGTCCTGTGTTCCTCTGGTCCTGCCCAGCCCCATGATCCCTCAGCCACTTATAAAATAATCATTCAGAGGCTTAATATTAATTATCAACTGTATGGCCTATGGCAGGCCTCTTACTAGCTAGCTCTTACAGTTTAACTCAACCCATGACAATTAATCTATGTATCCCCATATGTTCCGTGGCTTTACCTGTATCCCATTACAGGTTGCTCCTAGAACGGCAATCTAGCATTTCCCCTATTCCGTCTTTCTCTTTCCTGTCTCTCTCCTTGGATTTCCTGCTTGTCTCTAAGCTGCCTTGCCATAGGACAAAGTAGCTTATTTATTAACCAATGGGAACAACATATATTCACAACCGTACAGAAAGACATCCCCCAGCAATACGCACCACACACACACACACACACACCACAGCAATGTTTTCTTTCACATGTAACACAATCCTGAACAAGAAGCAACTAACTTTTTCACTTCAATGCACTTACCTTTAGTAACTTGATTTCTCGCATAGCAATTTTCTTAACCATTTTGTCGTCATCACTTTCTAGGAACTTCTTAATAGCCACAATTCTTCCACTGTCTTTATTCCTACACTTCATTACCATTCCATAACTCCCTTCTCCAACCAATCCTAGGTTCTCATATTTTTCCATTTTAATTTAAAACCAGTAGGAATTTTTCTTGCTGTGGAAACCAAAACAGAGGGTAAACAATGCTGAATGGGTCATTTTCTCCAGTCTCCCAGCAAATTCACTCCTGTGACACTGTTCCCCATTACAGAAAGTCACTACGCTCATAGTGATCTGTACTATCACAGTTTCTTACCATTCCCACGCTAAAGGTAAGCTTTTGAAGTGTTTATACAATTTAAAATAAACAATGCAAAGCAACTGAAGCTACTAACTTTACATTTAAATTGTATCGATTCATATTAATAAATTAAATTTATTTTTAACTATATGAAGCAACAAGCTATCATTCAAAACAATTATAGCTCACGAAGCACAATCATTTCACCTTAAAGATGAAAAGGGCACAACTGAATTTGGTCTTCATGAAAATCAGAAAGTCTTATGATGGGACTGGAGACATGGCTCAGCAATTACGAACACGTACAGCTCTTCCAGAGGGCCTGGGTTTGGTTCCCAATCCCCCACAATGGATCACAATCGGCCACAACTCCAGTTTCAGGGGACACAACACCCACTTCTGGCCTCTACAAGCATTAGGCACAGTATGCATATTCGTGCACACACATGTGTGCAGAGAAAACACTCATATAAATAAAAATAAAAATAAAAATAGATAACTCTACTGGACATGGTGGCACAGGCCTTTCATCCCAGCACTTGAGAGGCAGAAGCAGGTAAACCTCTGTGAGTTTCAGGCCAGTCCGGTCTACAGAGTGAGTTCCGGAACAGCCAGGGTAATATAGAGAGACCCTGCTCAAAACCAAAAATGAAAGCAAAATAAATCTTAAAAAAAAAATTTATACCAGATTCAAAAAATCCAAGTTGGAAATTTTTATGCACTTTCCACTTAATTATAAAAATTTATCATGCTGGGCAATGGTGGTGCATGCCTTTAATCCCAACTATCAGGAGGCAAAGGCAGGTGGATCTCTGTGAGTTCCAGGCCAGCCTGGTCTACAGAGCAAGTTCCAGGACAGCCAGGGCTACAAAGAGAAACCATGTCTCCGAGGGAAAAAAAATCACAACAGGGAATTAAGGCTGAATCTTTGGTAAGTTTTCTCTGCTTCTCTTCCTTTCTTTCTTTCAGTGCATTGATGTGTTCTTGCAAGTATGTCTGTGTGCGGGTGTCAGATCCCCTAGACAGCTGTGAAATGGCATGCAGATGCTGGAAATTGAACCCGGGGCTTTTGGAAGAGCAGTCAGTGTTTTGTTTTTGAGACCAGGCTGGCCTTGAACCCACAGAGCTCTCCCTGCCTCTGCCTCCCAAGTGCTGGGATTAAAGGTGTGCGCCACCAGCGCCAGGCTCCAGCCAGCGCTCCTAACCACTGAGTCATCTCTCCAGCCCCTTCTCTGCTTTTCTTATAGTACTCATTAAATTACTATATTAAACTTAAATCACTTAAATTTTGTAGACAGAATTAATGTTATGTCTCACTATAAGGCATTTTCTGAATAAAGTCAATCATAAACGGAATCTTCTTATTTTATCAATAATTGATAAAAAGTCAGTAATCATTTTTTATATTGCATATTTTAATACAGAAAAAAATCATTATTTTAGGGCTGGAAATGTGGCTCAGTGGTAGAATGTGTGCTTAGCATGGGTGTGAATATATATATTTTTTTATATAAAATATGGTAATATTACATATATTATATATAATCCACTTGACTCTGCCTCTTAAGTGTTGCCACTTAAAAGAGTATGCCACCATGCCCAGCATAAATTTTATTTTTTTAAGTCTGTCTTTAGAAATTTAAACTCCAGTATCCATGAATTAAAAAAAAAAATTGCTCTAAATCCTACTTTGGTTTCAAAAGAGGTTTGGGAGGGCTTAAATATTAGATAATTTTATATTCAAATGACTCAGAGTTGAATTTTTAAAGCCTTATCATACAAAACACTTATCCCAAACTTGTGAAATGAAAAAAAAAATCTTTCTTCTTAATATTGATTAGGCTCTATGGCAATCTAAAGCTAACCTACCCCAAACTATAAAGACCCATTGGGCGCCATTTGTAGCTGGAGTTTTCTCCAGTCCTGCCTGGCCCACGGTCAGGATGAATCTCTCTCAGCGGACATTTTAGTGCTTCTCTATCCATATATGAATAGCGTATGGATAAGGGGAAACAACCAAATATACAAAAACAAAAAACAAAACCCACCACTGTCTTTTTATTCTAGAAAATTATGATAATCCAAAGTATATATTTATTACATTTTCAGCCCTTGACATTTAGCAGTTTGAGGTTTTATGACAGAGAGAGAGAGAGGTGTGTAAATTAACCCAGGGCCTCCCACAGGCTAAAAAGGTATTCTTTCTGCACAGAGCTACACCGTCTAGCACCCATGATCTGCATACTGTAAATGCAGACAGACATAACAGACCAGAAGAATGATGCGGGAATGAAAACAATCCCAAGGGACATCAACTTCCAAATCCTTCACTACTTCATTACCAGTTTGGGTATTAGACTCTACTGAAAACTACCGAGTGTCACAGACACTGACTTCCCATGTATTTGACATTTTAAAGTCTTTTTAACTTTAATTACTTTTTAACAAAAAAGTTTATATTTGGAAAACCCTTTGAATGTAATTCTAACACTTAGTTTTTAGCCTTCCATTCTGTATATATTATAAAGGAGTAAGCTTTAGGCTAGTAATACCAATAATACAAATAGCTGGAATCTATAGCCTAGATCGTTTTAATATATTGTAATTGGCATCCTAGATATTTGAAGATGCAAGCGAACAAAACAGAAAATACTTTAAGCATGTATAGAGAGATCTGAAACATATCATAACCTAGTATTATACAAGTGGACTACTCCAAGTTTATTTCCCCTACCAACTGCACATGTGATCACAATACATTGGGCACACCTGCTTGTTTAAGTGAGCTTGTCTACAAACACCTTAACAGTATCACGGCCTAAAATAAGTCTTGTTTCCTCAGTTACTTATAATCTATGTTTTTTTTTTCTTGCCTTCCACTCTTAAATCTATGGATATCACGTGGCATACAACAAGGGAGCCTGGTACGACGGCACTACAATAATTTAGGATCTGTGCCATACAAGCATTCTGTTCAAATACCACCAATTTTCTTTGGTTAAAAAAATCAGACCGAAATCTTTTATAGATAAAAGAACGAGATAACAGGGCCTTAAAAAGTATTATACTTACTATTTCTTCCAAACCCTTCACATGGAAAGAGCCAAAGGTTTTCAACTTGGAAACAAATTGGAGGTGATATGCATCTCGCTAGCAGATCTAAAAGATACTGACTAGCAAACGAGCAATCCCAGTACTGGGATTTTCTCTGAGGACGCAGTTACTGGTCCTGGGTGAAGCAGGTAGGGAAGCTTCTGCCCTCCACAAGCTCACACTTCCGAGGACCGCGGGCCGCATGCTGCCGTCGTCAAGGCAACGACCTCACTCGGTCCCCAGCCATAGGCAGTCTCCAGAGAGAGGAAGAGCCCGAGTCAGAATGCGTCCACGGCAGGCACGGACACGAGCACCTGTCAAGGCCAAGAGGTGCAGAGAAATGAGCTGGGGAAAGAGGGCACCGCCTGCCGAAAGCCCCGCGGCCGCTCAGCTCTGGCAAGCAGCACCGCTCCAAGTAACCCAGGGCGAAGGCGTTGGCCACCCAGCTGCAAGGGGGCGGCTCTCACCCGCCCGGGCCCGCCCCGCGTGCGCCGGAGCCTCCCTGATTCTGATTGGGCGAGCCCTGTCGTCAGGGCCTATGATTGGCTCCGTGCCACCCCGCCCCGCCCCTTCACCTGGAGCCCGCAGGTTGGGTCAGCTGACGCCCCGCGTCTCCACCACACCTACGGTCTGAAGTTTGTGGGGACCTTCCCGCCGGGGGCCCCGGCCGCCTCTGCTCTCAAGGGATCGCAGACTCCTCGAGTGGCCACGAGGAGGGCGAAGGCGGCAGTTTTGTAGGACCGAGGAGAGCGTGAGATGTCCCAGCCTGCCGGCCCGGGGCGCGGCGGAGCGCGGGCCCCACCCCGGGGAGGTTCCGCTCGGCCACGATTCCTCACTTCCTTTCCGTTCCGGGCGCTGGACCGAAGAGCCTAGTAGGTTGTTTAGCAGAGAGGCCGGTAAATAAGGTATTTGGTGACAGCCTTGGCATGAGAAAGGACCCTGGGGACGCCAGCCCGCTAGGGAAAGATTTGGGGTAGAGCCCAGAGGAGACGGGGTGCATACCGCAAGCGGAGTAAGCTGGAGCTTGAAACTTGGCCTTCTGTCTGAAGAACAGACGAGCCATGACTGGGCAAGATCTGTAGCCCATTATCATGCCTGTGCTGACGTCGTACAGGAAGCAGGGAAACAGGGTCTCCCTCATTTTTAAGTGACTGAGACTGTAAGGCCAAATATTTTTGCTTTCATTCACAGTAACCACCCAATTTGTAATCATATTTGGTTTCTAAAATAGCTCGATCCAGGAAGCAAGTATCCTTTATAACAGGCATGTCCTAGCCAGCACCCTGGGATCATTCTTGCATCCTAAGAACAGAGGTTTTTCGAACCTCTTCTTAGTTTGGTTCTGCATTAATCTCCCTTCAGCGAACTGCTTAAAATCTAGTTCCCTAACCTACAATTCCGAGAACATCTATCTGGAACCTTGGTATGGAAGTAGCCTTTCTTGGACAGCCCAAGATGACTGACTCACAATGTAGCAATGAGCTGTGACCAAGCTGAAGATATGTCCCATCTCTTTCCTCTAGACTCTAACCACATGAGCTTTTTTTAAAAAAAATCAAATATTTTTATGTGTGCTCTGCCTGCATGTATGTCTGAGCACCGTGAGCGTGCCTGATGCCCACAGAGACCAGAAGAGGGCGTCAGACCCCCTGGAACTGGAGTTCCAGCCAGTTAGTGAGCTGCCTTATGTGTGCTGGGAGGCACTCCTGGGTCAAGAAGCGTGGCAAGTGCTCATGGCCACTGAGCCATCTCTCTAGCCCCTCACATGCGGTTTTCATGGGATAAACTGAGGGGTTTGGGGAGTAGACAGCTCCTAAGTTTTTTTTTTTCCAACTTTACAAAAATAAACATTTTAAGGGTCTTCAAAGAGACCCTAAAACGGAAATAGCCCTTTGGTATCCATGGGAACTGAAAGGCCAGAAATGAACAGGTGATACCTGAGAAAACATACACAAACAATCCAAGTTGGAAATAACTGTAAAGGATATAGAGGGTATTAAAGAAGTACAAGTCCCTTCGGGGACTGGGTGGGAAGTTCAGTGGTGGAGTGCTTGCCTACAACGCACAAAGCCCCGGGATGGTACCCAATGTGTTATAAAATGGCAAGTGGCACAGCCCTGTGATCTCAGCCCTCAGAAGTGGGGAGCAGGAGTATCACAAATTCAAGCTCCTTCTTGGCTACAAGTCAAATCCAAGGCCATCCTGGGCTACATGAGACACTCTCAGGAAGGGAGAGAAAGATTATACAGCCTGGGTCAACCCGATTGCTGAAGAGAAGAGAAAGGCTGTGGGGAACAGTGGGGTTCTTTTTGTTTCCTTCTTAAACAGTAAAATAACTAGTGGAGAAAAACAGTATCAAGCTAAGGAGTTAACGTGAAGAATTCGTGAAATACCAAGTTAAGGGCTTATTAGGGCAGAGAATGAAGAGAGAAACATGCACATTGGCTAGCCTAGATCTTTAGTAAATTTCATTTTTCTATTAAACCTAGTGTTGGTCTAGTAAACCTAGTATTAATACCAGCCTGACAAGGTTGTAAAAACTTTAATCCCAGGTAGGCATATCTCTTGAGTTCAAGGCCAGTCTAAACTACATAGCAAGTAGCTATGGCCAGCCAGAGCTACATATTGAGACCCTGCCTCAAACAGAACAAAATAACAAAGTACTGGTCAGACTGAGGCTCAAGAATTTGTAAGCTTAAACTCCCTTAGGTAGGTAGTTATAACAGTCCCTGAAGTATTAACAGAATAAAAAGTTGAATGTGCCCACTCGAACGTGTAAACTATGAATTTACAGTGAAAACTGACCCTGTTTTGTACAATCTGACAAGCTCAAGGGCAAGAATGGAGAAAATGAAGTAATGCAAGATGATTAAACAAAGGAGGTAAGGAATAGAGAACAGCGGACCAAGCCTGCTACCCGACTAGACAAACAGATAAATTATAATGGTTAGCTGGCAGTCTGAAGACAGAGAACTGGAGGGAAAGGAGGGAACTGTGGACGTGACAAGAGTAACTTTAACAGGAGCAAAATAAGAGAAGAAAAATCAGAAAAAAAGCTGGGAAAGTCTTGGATATGGCACAGAATAATTGATCCACAAGGGTAAAAATTCAGTAGTAAGGCCTTTGTCCAGCAATTACAAACTTCTGGCACTCCAAATAATAATTTTTTAAAAAGTGAAATATATAGTGCTTCCTCTGGGTAGCTGAAGTTGAGCAGAAAGTTTTTTAGTTCAAAGAAAGGAGAAGAGAGTAAGAAAAAAATTGCCATTAACATGAACCACTCACATCAGGAAAGCCATAAAATGGCTCTTAAAATTAAAAATCACCAGAGTAAGTGACAGTGTTCTAAGGAGATGCCCTGAGGTAGAACCAAGTCCTCCAGAAAAGGCAACAAAGCAAAGCTGTAAATAGGCGAAGGAATATATTCCACTTCTCAGTACACACCCAAGAAGTAACAGCATGCATTCACGTAACAGCTTCTATTTAAATGATTGTAGTTGTGCTGTTGACAGCAGCCAAGAGGAATGTCCATCAGCATAAGACTGAGGATGTAGTCAGCTCTAGCATTTCATTCCTTAGAACAGTGGCTCTCAACCTGTAGGTCTCGGTCCGTTTGGGGGTAGCACAACCCTTACATAGAGGTCGTGTAGGACCATCAGAAAACAGATAGTCACAATTCATAACAGCAAAATTACAGTTATAGTTGGGGGTCACCACAATATGAGGAACTATATTAAAGGATCATAGCATTAGGAAGGTTGAGAACCACCCCAATATTCCTCAACCATTAAATGGAAGTGGATTCATATCACAATGTAGATGAATCTTGAATACTATAAAAAAGAGATGCTACACAAAATGTCACTTGTGATTAAATTTTCTGTGAAATGTCCAGCATAGGCTGACCCACAGAAACAAAAGATGGTAGCCATGAGTTAGACTGCAGTTGCTCAACCTGTGAGGTCTACCCCCTTTGGTGGTTACATAGCAGATATTTATGATTCTTTTTTTTTTTTTTTTTTTTTTGGTTTTTCAAGACAGGGTTTCTCTGTGTAGCTTTGCACCTCTCCTGGAACTCACTTGGTACCCCAGGCTGGCCTCGAACTCACAGAGATCTGCCTGCCTCTGCCTCCCAAGTGCTGGGATTAAAGGCGTGCGCCACCACCGCCCAGCTTGATATTTATGATTCTTAACAGTAGCAAAACAGTTATGAAGTAACAATGAAATAATTTTATGGTTGGAGTCACAACATGACTGTATTAAAAGAGTCGTAGCATTAGGAAGGTTGAGAACCACTGGGTTAGAGGTACATGGGGGAAAAATGACCACTAATGAGTATAGGGTTTCTTTTGGGAGGTGATGAAAACATTCTGGACTTAAGATAGTAGTGATGGTTATATAACCTTGTGAAATCAACAAGAACTCAGTTGTACACTTTAACAAGGTGACTGACTAGAAGCCAGTGAGATGGCTCCTGGGTAATGGTACTTACTTGTCACCAAGCCTAAAGACTTGATATTGATCCCTGGGATCCACAGGGTGGAAGGAGAGAAGTGACTGCTGAAAGCTATTCTCTGATGTGAACATACACAACACACATAGGCACACACACACACACACACACACACACACACACACACACATGTGTAATAAAAAAATTCTTAAAGTGATTGTTAGGTATGTAAATTATCTCTCAATTAAAAAAAAAAAAAAACTATGGAAAACTAAGAATCACCCATCTCCCCAGAAACACTTTCAGTGAATTTATAAATCTGAAGCTTACAGTGGACCTACTCTTTTCCTCACACTGAAAACCATCTCTATTAAACTATTTCATCACTATACATCTTGTCATCCAAAGACCACTGCGTACCATTATTTCTTGCTTCCCTACCCTTACCCCAAAGCCCTTCCGGTTCTGAGAACCTGATAATCAGGAGGTTTCGGTACCACACAAGTCAGCAAGTGAGCACAAGGGCGCTAGCATCCTGACAGGGACGGTTCTGTTCCAGTACACCAGGCAGCACAGTAGGAACACAGCACACACTCTGTTAAGAAACTGGGGGCTGCCGGGCAGTGGTGGCGCACACCTTTAATCCCAGCACTCAGGACCAAGAAGCAGGGCAATCTCTTGAGTTTAAAGCCAGCATGATCTACAGCCTGATCCAGGACAGCCAGGGATACAGAGAGAAGCCCTGTTACTAAAAACCAAAAGGAAAGAAAATGGGGGTGGATTTGAATCCCTTAAGAAGAAGAGAGGGGAGGAAAAATGAAAATGAACTGATGACTTATTTGGAAGTTCTTTGATCTAAAGACAACTGCTGTAGGTAAGTTAATTCTGTTCTCAACCTAGAGTGATTTCACTTAAATTTAGAGGTAGGTGTAATGGTACACACCTTTAATCCCAACACCTGCAGAGGCAATGTAGGTTTTGAGTTGTAGACCAGACACCTGCAGAGGCCAAGTTGGTTTTGAGTTGTAGACCAGCCTGGTCTGCATAGCCAGACATATAACTCAAAGGCAGAGACAGGATTTTTGTGAGTTCCTAGCCAACCACATCTACATATTGAGATCTAAGGTCTCAACTCTTCCTCCACATCAAAGGCTGTTATTTGCAAAGGGAAAATACTGTGTACTGCTTGTTCCAAGTTCCACATAGCTTATACTTGCTGTCAGTCACTAAGATATTGACATTGGCGCCAATTTGGGAATCCAGTCCTCAAATACTAATATGTGGAGTCGCTTCTTTCCACTGGTAATGTGTCTCACATATCATCCTCCCTTTCGTTTCCTTGTAGCCTCGAACCCCATTCTCAACCAAAATTTCAGAAAAAGGGGCTGACGGATGGCTCAGCAGTTAAGTATACTGCTCTTCCAGAACCCGCACAGCAGCTCACAGCTGTTGGTAAAACCAGTTGCCTTCTTTTGGCCTGAGGACACCAGGCACACTAGTGG